CAACTCTGTCTTTGTGTAACAAATATGAAAACTATCAGCCTGTGTCAATATCTCATGTGACAGCACTGATTTCTCAGACTCACGTGTGACAGATGGGGCAAATGATGTGCATCTCATCCATCCCCTCCACCACAGACGAGATGTACTGCTGCTCAAACTGCAGGTTCCTCTCAAGTTCTTCAATTATGGACATTTCTGGGATACAAAGAAAAACCATCTTTAGTTTGACCTCAAAATCAACAGGTTCCTTGTCTTCACAGTGCAGCTGCCTTGCTCCAGGCTATCACCAGTGTTGTCAAAAAGATTTATTCAACAATACATATTGACTCTGAACATTTGAAACAGCTTCAATTCTCATTTTCCACAGTATCAAGACATCAGCACCACTTCATCGCTCTCTCTGATCAGCCCCTTTTACACTGTTCATTCAGGGCAGGAACATCACAGCATGATGCTGCCTTGGCATTCTGTACATAAGGTACGATGAAATGGTGTCTGTATAGACCGTTTCAAACCGGACAACATAAACATTCTAAACGGGTCCCTTTGTATTTCCTGTTTGAATGTATGTTAATGCAGAAAATGACAGGCAGTAAACGGGGACCAAAGTTGTTGCCCTAGCAACAGAATAGCAATGAAACGGTCCATAGAAAGGACAGGCGGCAAGACAGGACTATGGGCGCCTTGGGTGTGACATTTTGGCTACGTGTTACACATGCAGGCCACCGCCAGAAGATTTAGTTGTTAGCAGTTAGCAGCTAACCCAAAGAAAAACAGCAGCTGAAAATGTCCACAAAACATCCATCCATTTTCATCCACTTATCCGGGGCCGGGTCGCGTCTTCAACGGATCTCCCAACGCTTTCCCAGGCCAGACGAGATATGAAATCCCACCAGCGTGTTCTGGGTCTGCCCCGGGGCCTCCTACCAGTGGGACGTGCTCAGGAGGCATTCTATTCAGATGCCCAAACCACCTCAACATGAAGGAGCAGCGGCTCTACTCCGAGCTCCCTCCAGATGTCTGACTCCTCCCCCTATCTCTAAGGCTGAGCCCAGACACCCTACAGAGGAAACTCATTTCCACCGCTTGTATCTGTGATCTCATTCTTTCAGTCACGACCCAGAGCTCATGACCATAGGTGAGGGTTGGGACGCAGATGGACCAGTAAATCGAAAGCTTTGCTTTCCGGCTCAGCTCCCTCTTTACCACGACACACCGGCACAGCGCCCGCATCACTGCAGAAGCCACAATGACCCGCTGATCCATCTCACGCTCCACTCTACTCTCACTCTTGAACAAGACCCTGAGATACTTGAACTCCCTCTCTTGAGGCAGTAACTCTCCCCTGGAGAGGACAATCCACCAGTTTCCGACAGAGGACCATGGCCTCAGACTTGGAGGTGCTGACATTTACATTTATTTGATTGGACATTTGTTTCATGTCTACAGTCGGGAGTTAAGAATGAAATGCATCATGGGAAAGACTTGTGAAGTTTGAGGAAGTGCCAAACATCACTCTGTATTAAAATCCTCCTAAACAGAGGCTGATTAGTGTGCGGAATGATTTGTTTTTTGACTTTGTCTGACGTTTCTTCAGTCCAGCACCCACTCCACTGCACATTAGAATGTGTGTGTGTGTGTGTCTTTTATAGTGTCTTTAATACTTCACCTTGAGACATGAGCTCCTGCTGGATTTCCTCCAGTATGGCCAGTTCATCATATTCCTTCATGACACTGAACATCTGCTCAGAGATGAGAGGAGAGCAGAGCTGAGGACAGGTTTTACTGGGTTCATGACTGACTCTGAAAATGTGTTTTAACTACAGGTGGATGTGTCTCATTCTGTGTCCTCACAGCTGACAGAGACAGACAGAGAGACAGGAGACCAGGACAGAGTACTGTACCGAGACACCGACCTGTGCCATCCCCTCCGGCCCCCACAGGGAGGGCAGCCTCCGCTCCTCTGACTGCAGGGCGCTCCACTCCTCCTCCATCACCTCCTGGACGATGCTGGAGGTCCCGGAGCCGGTGTCCCGGTGACTGTCCCCCATCTGCCGGTATCTCTCCAGCAGCCTGGACCGGCTGTTCTTCAGTCTGTCCACACAGCGCTGAGACAGACAGCAGACAAACAGGACAGAGTTAAACTCCGACATGCTAACAGGCTAACGTTAGCTAGCTGACGGTTACCGTTAGTTTTCGTCACCTTCCGGTAAGTTTCCTTCCATGGCGGAGTGGTTCCTTTATAAAGGGACCGGTGTCGGTGCAGAGCGTCCATCTGTCGGTGCCGTTAACGGGAGGAACTCTGAGACTGGGTCCAACAAACTGACTGAGACCTGAGGAGACGGTAAAACCAAAACATTCCAGCTTTTAACCCCGCGACCCGGAAGTTGATGTGTGCCGCCTCAGACTGCATGATGGGTATTGTAGTTCTGTCCTGCCCATTGTCCTGTAAATTATAATGAAAATTTTTTTTATCGAAATAAAAAAAGTCGACATTATTACTTAATTAAAAAAAATATATATAGTATATTAAAAGAATGACAATTATTTTTTTTAGCTATTCGGCCATTATTTTGGGAAAGTTTATTTCAAAATTATGACTTATTATCACAAAATTAGGAATAGATATCACCTCAAAATAATGACAAACTTTCTCAAAATAATTTTCTCGAATTTTTTGTTAGTGCATTTTTTTTAAATAACAGAACTTTATAAAAAATAATAACTTAATATCCCAAAATGTTGACATAATATCTAAAAATAATGGGAAGCTCTCTCGGAATGATGACTTATCTCAAAATAACGATAAGCTTTTTTTTTCCCCAATGTAATAACTCTCCTCAAAATAATGACACAATATATTAAAATAATGAGCAACTTTCTCAAAATATTGACTTAATATCCCAATGCCCTTTTTAAACTGTTTATCAAGTGTTCAGTTTTTTTTCAAATAACAGAACATTCTCAAAATAATGACATAATGTTTCAAATAATGAGAAGCTTTCTCAAAAAAAAAAAAAAAAAAATAGTATCACAAATAATACTTACTATCTGAAAATAATGAGAAGCTTTTTCAAAACAATGACTTGGTATACTGAAATGAGAAATTCTGTCAAAATTATGATTAAATATCTCAAAATATTGACACAGTTTCTCAAAAAATGAGAAGCTTTTTCAAAAATAATGACAAATCTCAAAATAATTATTTAGTATCACAAAATAATACTTGGCATCTCGAAACAATGAGAAACTCGCTAAAAATTAAGACTTGGTATCTACAAATGAGAAATTCTGTCGATATATTACTATAGATACATCTGTATACCAAAATATTGACATGTCTCAAAATTCTCAAAAATTATCTCAAAATATTGGCACAGCATTTCAAAACAATGAGCAGCTTTCTCAAAATATTGACTTTATATCTCTAAAATATCGACATAGTAACTAAGAAAATAATGACATAGCATCCCAATACATTTTCAAAAACTTTTTATTAAGTGTTCAAATTTTTCAAATAACAGAAAATTCTCAAAATAGTGATGTAATATCTCAAAATATTACATAGCATCTCAGATATTGACATAGTTTCACAAAATAATGAGCAGCTTTTTCAAAATAAAGATTTAGTGCCACAAAATAATACTTGGCATCTTGAAACTATGAGAAACATTCTCAAATTAATAAATTAATATCTCAAAATAATTACTCAGCGTCTCAAAAATAATGAGACACTTTCTCAAAAAAATGATTTAATATCACAAAATTATAACTTATTGTCTCAAAACAATGAGAAACTTGGTACCTCAAAATGAGAAAATCTGTAAGAAACAAAAAACAAAACACTTTGTGTAGCAAAAATAATAAAACACTTTCTCAAAAATTAATGAATTAATATCATAAAATAATGACTTAGTTTCAAAAGCATGACGATACTTTAAAATCATGAGAAACTTTCTCAAAATAATAACTTAATATCTCAAAACTATGACTTGGTATCTCAAATAAGTCATTATTCTGTAACAGTAAGTCATAAACCTAAGAGAGGTTTCTCATTAAACTGACTTCAGTTATTTTATTTCATCACACTGGAAACACACAATTACACCTGAGATCCATCTTGTTGCCAAAACTACCTGAAAAATATCCAAAACTACTTTTATTTAAAGTCTCAACAGTGACATCTGGTGGTGAGATTGTGTCACTGCACAGAAGGACACTAAACCTTACAGGGACATTTTATTTTTCTCAGTGTACAAGATGGATTTTGTGACAGTTATTTGTGTTTTCAGTGAGTAACAATAAAGTTATTCTCAAATGGAAACTGAAAACTTCACCTTTAGGGTGTGTTCAGGCAGATTTTACTTTACTCAGTTTATTTTTAAACACATTAAATCTTTTCACAGTGAAGATGAACTCGCCATCGGGTTCCTACAGAAAGTTATATACGTTTATGGAGCTGTGTCTCTGCCCCGGGGCATGCTGGGAGAAGCCTGGGGCTCAAGTCAACACATGTAAAGAATGAAAAGCCTTTTTACAATAAGCCTTGATTAAATGTAAATAGTCCCAACATGGGTCTGCAGCAGCTCCTGGCTCTGGATCTGCATGTGAATGGGAGGCAGCTAAGGCGTAAACACTCCTTATCACAACAGCTTTATGCAGAGGAGCTGCTGCTAAATCTTTATCTGCTCTGCTGCTGACAGTCCCGCTGCTTGTGAAGACGAGCTAAACGTTAGTTAGAGGACTTTAAGGCTCGCCAAGTGTTTATGCGCTCTGGTGCAGGCCCGAGGAGAGGCTTACTGGAGGTTTCTGTGGGAAGGAGAGGGGAGCCAGACAGGCGACAGTCAGCGCTGCCTTGGCCTCGAGGCAGAGGCTGGGAGCGAGCAGGCGAGCCAATGAGAAGGAGACATCCACTCTGTCCTGCCCGGCTTGGCTCAGCTCGGCGCGCCCTGTAATTAGGAGCTCTAGTTGGGTTGGGCGCCGCCACGGTGGACAGCCCGGCTGCTGCGTCAAGGGAGTTTGGGAACGCCAGCTCCAGACCGTGAGGATATCTGCACACTGCTGCTTCCACAGTCAGGAGCGGGGACCAGAAATACAAAACTCTGAACATGAACGGGCAGTCCTCACCTGTCTTCGAGGAGAAGAAGCCACCCCTCCCCATGGCCGGGGGCTCCATCTCGGCCACCAAGGATTCCCCGACCCTGCCGGAGTCCTCGTCCACAGACATGGGCTTCTACAGCGGCCAGAGCGCGCTCCACGGCTCCCAGGATTTCTACCCGGCGCAGCAGCCGTACTCCGCCCAGCACATGAACCCGTACGCGTACCACCACTACAACCTACACGGGATGGGTCCCGGAGGAGGCTACCCTGTTGGCAAGGCAGAGTACCCGTACCCCCCCTCAGCGTACAGAGAGCACGGCGCGTTCAGCAGGGAGGCGCAGGCAGCGCTGCAGGACGGGGGTAAGCTGAGTCTGAAACTTTAGCGGAGTGTCTGAGTCATGAGCAGATATTTGTGTTGGATCGTTTTAATGAAGAGCTGCTGTCACACACAGCTCTGTGAAACATCTCTCAAGCTTTGTCCAACAGCATGAAAAGCCACACTGACCACGCGAGGCTGATGTGTGGCGAGTGCTCACGTCTGGCCATAAAAACCAAGTAATTGCGCACGAGCTTTACGCACGAAGAAAACGTTTTCACCGCGTCCAGAACTTTTTACATCGCCTTTTAGACACACTGTGGAGCAGTGCCATGCTGCTCTGTTACACCTCCAAACCTCCATCATTAGAAGATGATTAGAGGAGTCATTATTACAGTGTGCTGATGGTGTCAAGTGACTACAGGAGTAAGGGACACACCGTCAGTGTCCTCCTGATTACTAAAAACATGTCCCACAGGGTTGATATACATGAAACCGTATACCGCGATATTAAATCTGATATCATACCGCGTATTAGTGCTCATCTATAATACTGAAAATAAAACTGGATGGAGAATCTCACCTGCGATTGCACTTCTCTTTCCTCCTCCACCGCCTGTCAGACTTTTTACACACACTAAAAATGGTTTCACCCTTTTGATTTAATTCCTTCAAGGGTTTTTGTAACTAACATTAAGAATAATACTTGTTTAATAACATACACCATATTTTCTGAGACGTTATTGTACTGTTAAATCTCGAAAGCTTACGTCATAGATACATTATTAGAATAGTTTTTTCAGCTTTAATACACCCCTTTATTCAAGTGAATGATGTGTAGATGCATAAGCAACATCTAACAGTATTCATTTACCTTTTTAAATCTTTAGTACACCAGTGTTGGAGGTTAATAACTCACAGTTCGCACTGTAAAGCACAGATACTCAACTTGCTTTGCCTAGGGGACCACTTTTGTAAAACTGTCAGGAGGCCAGGGGCCAGATAATAAACACACTTAACTAATATTTGTCAAATAAATCAAATAAAATTTGAAATTAAGGCAAATTCGTCTTTTTATGTTTTGTTGAATTTGTTTTCAATCTTTCAGCATGAGGTGTCCTTACTCATCTTTGCCAAGAGACAAATCCAGACGAGCAGCTCCGGGCAGGTCTGGTGTTCACACAGGGGCGTTTCTAGGATTTGAGGAGTTCAGGGCTCAGCTCAGCTGTGGGGGGGGGGGGGGGGGGGGGGGGGGGGGGGNGGGGGGGGGGGGGGGGGGGGGGGGGGGGGGGGGGGGGGGGGGGGGGGGGGGGGGGGGGGGGGGGGGGGGGGGGGGGGGGGGGGGGGGGGGGGGGTCCGTGGGATCTTCTACTTTTTTTGTAGTGATCTTAAGCGCTACATCGTGGGCAACTGGACTTGCTCGAGTTTCTTGAAGATGTTTCACCTCTCATACAAGAAGCTAGATAGAAAAGAGAAGATATTATTTAATTTACTATATTTGGTGTTTTTTAAATGCATTTGGCACCTTGTTTACACTTAAAGTGCATTTAAATACATTTATTTTCATTGTAAATTAGAAAATGGTTGGCAGGGTCCAGATTTTGCCCGTGGGCCACAAGTTGAGTATCACTGCTGTAAAGCTTTATGACAAACAGGGATTCTGGCCTCCTCAAAAAGTAAATATTGGGTGTTAGATGCAGTTCGTACTGCCAGGCGAAGTTTTCTCTCTTCCTCCTGAAAATAAGCCACAAGTTGAATCTTTATATTGGCTGTTAGAAGAACTCACAAACTAACTCAGTCAGTCGTTCAAGTTGAGCGGAGCAGCTTCTGCCAGGATGCAAGAATGCAGGTGAATTTTTAGGAAATGTAAATTGTGTTTTAGTTCACCAACTTCGCCCAAAAGAAAAAAACTGTGAGTCACAGTTTTATTGAAAAGTAGAGGAGGAGGCATCTGTGGGTGAGAAGTAGAGATGTACTGATACCACTTTTTCTTTCCTGATACCGTTTCCGATCCCTAAACCTTAGGTATCTGCCGATACCGAGTACTGATCCGATACCAGCGCGTAAAATAAAAATGGATGTTATTGTATTATAATGTTATTATCCATATATTTGGAAATGTATCTCTCTGATGTGTCCATGGACTGTTATAATTTCTGTTTTTACAGCTTCTGGCTGTAATAAATGGTGTGTTTGGCGATTTTTAAAGAAAACATGCCCTTCAAACTCAAATTTTGCACCAAAATTTTAAAATGGCTAAAATCTGGAAAATCGCCAAAATCTATAATCATGTTTTCTTTAAAAATCTGCAGTAAAATAAATATAAAATACAACCATTTTGTAACGTTCCCTTTCTTAAATGTTTCTGTCCTCATGGGAGTAGAGGAAAACTTAGGTAGCTGCTAGGCTAATTTATTCAATGTAAAATGTCATAGGATTATGCTAACAACATTAGCATGTTGTATTTGTGGGGAAAGTGTGTCGAGTATAAAGCAGCTGTTTTGTTTGTGAATCTTTTGAGTTACAATGGACCCAAATTTTGTACGTTTGTTTAATACTGACACTGTCAAAACATGTTTTAGGTGTGTTTTATTAAATCAGACTTTACTGCACTTCACAGAAACTCAACACAGCGGCAAAGAAACAGCGGTGGAGGTTGGAATCATGTTTCCTTTAAAAATCTGCAGTCAAATAAATACAAAATACAACAATTTAAACTTGTTTGCCCCTGTACTAAGCCAAAATAAAAACATTAATCCCTCCCCAATGCTTAAAATATTTGACATGCTTCCCTCTTTTTACACCACCCCTCCCCCCTCATAAATAACAAACAGTCCATAATGTATTCAGTATTTTTCTCTTAATTTTAGCAATCCGACAGCCAGTTTACACTCTGCTTTTTAAACATTTAAATTCTACCAAATTATATGATAAAAAAAAACAGAAGCAGTATAATCACGAGAGTCAGGAAAAGCAAGTTTAACGGAGGTTTATCTTTTGTTTTCCTGGTTGTTGTTCACTGTAAACAGAAGCTCGCCTCATCTAGCTATCTGTCAGCTTTTATTTTTATAGGTCAACAGAGATCAGTCTAAAAGTCACTGGATTGAAGGCACAGTGACTTTTCAGCTTCACCTACATTAGGAATGAAGAAGTAATTAAAGAACACTCAGCTGGTATATGTGTACTACACTAATATAAATAAAGTGATGGTAGAATAACTCAGATCCTGCCGTGAAATCACAGACAACACTTGGAGCAACAAACACGAGTTCGGCTCTGTGTCCCCCCTCAGCCACACTGTGTCTTCAAAAGCTTTTTCTTCTGGCTCTTCTTGGAGCCTGGAAGATGTTTCTGTGTGAACTCAACAGACTGGTGTTGTGTTTTTGACATTCCAGTTGGGAGTTGACTCCTGGAAATGGCCCCAGGGGACTTTGGCCCACAGCCACACACATCAGGTGTCACGACATGTCAGTCAGCCTTGGCCTTTGAATCATCCAGTGAGGACGGCTCCTTATCGTGCGAGGCCCGAGGCTACGCCCAAACAAACACATCACAAACAAATACATAAACAGGTGACAAGTGAAATGAATGGCCTGATGCCTAACTGATCATACAAAGACATGTAATAGACATAATAAATACATGTTTCAAACAACATAGTTAGTTAAATAATGCGGTAAATTAATTAAATAAGTAAATGAAAAACCTACAGGGATAACAAATGGCACAGGGGCGCAGCCAGAACTTTAAAAAATACTGAGGTCATGAGTCAAAGCCTATCAAATGAACCCACACAAATATATTTTAAACTTTTCATATTTTATTTATTGAAGTAATTGCTGTAGCGATTTAACTGGATTCTTTCTTTTTATTTTGGTCCAATTTAAATATATTGAGTAAAAAACTGTGGACTGAGCCTTTAAAACAAATGCAGAGTGTAAACTGGCCGTCAGGTTGCTAAAATTCAGACATAAAAATACTGAATACATTAGGGACTGTTCGTTACTTATGAGGGGGGAGGGGGTGGTGCAAAAATGGGGAGGCATGTCAAATAATTTTATAAGCACTGGGATGGGGCTTTAAAGAAAATAAAGAAAACACACCTTCAAAACCCCGACCGCCGTTTCTTTGCCACTGTGTTGAGTTTCTTTTGAAGTTTGATTCAATAAAACACACCTAAAACATGTCTTAACAGTGTCAGTATTAAACAAACGTACAAAATTTGGGTCCATTATAATTTAAAAGTTTCACAGACAAAACCATTGCTTTATACTCGACACGTTTTCCCCACAAATACAACATGCTAATGTTGTTAGCATAATCGTATGACATTTTACATTCCATAAATTAGCCCAGCAGCTAGCTGAGTTTTCCTCTACTCAAATGAAGATTGAAAAAACAGATCTGAGCTTAAAATACTGATATTTCATCAAAAGCACTGAACTTGAATATACTGTTTGCACGACAAGAGTGAAAAACTGAGTCACCGTTGTTGAGACTCAGAAAAAGTTTATGAAAAGGCGCCGGGCTGTGGACTTTTTCTCTTGGAGGCCCAAAACTGAAACTTAGTGGTGGGCCACAGGCTTCAAGCAAACACATAATGTGTTGTATCATACTGTTAGTATGTTAAATGGTACCAGCATCCCTTTTGTGCTAATGTCCATTTTTTTCTTACCTCACTCTCAGCAAACTGTCTTTCTGTGCAAAGTGTCGCTCTGCTCGTGGCGCTCAGATCATGAACAATAATATTTAGGGGTCTTATCAATTTAAAGAACATTAAAAAACAAAGCATAAGCGGCCATGGAAATTCTAATGTTTTTAAAATGACTTTTTCCGCTGTATGACGCACATTTTAGTCGACAAAATGTTAAAACATTTTTGCAATCACTGGGCGTCACATTTTCAGAATTTAAGAATCACTTCAGGTCTACAACACTGACAAATAAAAAATAAAATGTTAAAAAGAAACCGTCACTTATTTCTATTTAGTTTTTCTTCAATGCCACAGGGAGCTGCTGAGGAGGGGCTGAAGAGCAGCAGGTTGCCGTATTTATTTTTAAACATTGTTTCCATCTTAACCCTTTGAAACCTGGAGCAACATCACTTTTCTTGTGCTGCTTTCAGATGCCTTTCGCAAGTATTCAAACCTTTAAACCCTGAGCTAATTGGTGCAATCTCCTAAAAAATGGACATATTTAGATTTTTTTTAAAAAAAAGCTAGGCAAGAATCATATTAATAATTATCATTATTATATATCTAAAGTTGTGCTACAGATTTATTACACTTTTTAAGCTCTTTGTCCAGGTCATTTCCTTGTTTGTTTGTATTTTAACTCATTTTCTTGCTCTTAATTTTCTCGTTGAGCTAAGTTTTTGGGTAATTTCATGTGCAGCCTATTGCCTTCTTACCACATTTCTGAAAGAAACAAGGTCTATTTGCTGTCAGGTTTCAAAGGGTTAATGTGATGAAAACATACGTGTTGATCAAATGTAAACAAATGTATCTGAGTGAGTTTGTCTGTCTGACTGAAAGAAGACAAAAAAGAAATCTGATACAAGAATAACAGCCTGAACGAGGAGAGCTGTATACAAGCAGCCCTCCAGGCTACATGAAAAGCACCTATAAATCTCTGTCTCCCTCCCCGGCTGTGGGAGACACTCAGACCAAAATTATAAGTTCAGAGTGCTGGCGGAATTTCTTTGAAATTTCGGGGTTGTAGCGGCCGTGGCTATTTTTGTTTTCCTCTGCACAGACTGCCCTGTGGAGACCTAATGCAAGTTCAGTTCATTTAACTGGAAGATTTGTGTTTAAAAGTCTCACACAGACTGTTACGTTTTATAGGATCAGAGAAGAAGAAGGTGAGAGTGCCATTAACAGGAGTGTCTCAGAAAGCATTTATAACTTCTTACTGTCTCCTCCCACAGTGAAAGAGGAGCCAGACGTGGAGGTTCGGATGGTCAACGGGAAGCCCAAGAAGGTGCGCAAGCCCCGGACCATTTACTCCAGCTACCAGCTGGCAGTCCTGCAGAGGAGGTTCCAGTCAGCGCAGTACCTGGCGCTGCCGGAGCGGGCCGAGTTGGCCGCGCAGCTGGGACTCACACAGACACAGGTGAGGCTGCAGGGAACAAACACCAACCAGAGCGGCTCAGTTTAGTTCAGGAACAATCAGAGAGGGCTACAGTTTATGAAACAAATCTGAAATAGCTGGGATCACATACCTGCATACATCCACCTGGTGCCCATTTGCCAGCTGGTGTGAACAGTTAATCAGCTGTCATTTGACCAGTCCTTCTACAAAATCTTGGACAAGGGGTCGCAGGGGGCGCTGGATCTCGAGAAACATCCCCTTGCAGAGCTGGAGAGACGCCTTTTTAGATGTGCGCATGCACAAGTTTCAGAGCCACTGTTTTATGTTGTATGCACGGAGATTGCTAAAGATGCATTTACGATCTTTGTTAAAAAACATAACGTTAGTTGACATATTATTGAATTAAAAACTGATAGCATTTGACTGACAGGGGATTGTGGGCCTCTGATTGGCCTCATTAAAAAATGACTGACAGATACCCTGCCCTCTTAAGCTAGCATATGCGTACATCTTAGACGGTGGCTCTCCGGCTCTGCAGGTGGATGATGTTGCCCATCCCAGCTGACACTGGGTGAGAGGCAGGGTTCACCCTGGACAGGTCACCAGACTATCACAGGGCTGACACATAGAGACAGACAACCATTGACACTCACATTCACACCTATGGACAATTTAGAGTCACCAATTAACCTGCATGTCTTTGGACTGTGGGAGGAAGCTGGAGTACCCGGAGGAAACCCACACTGACACAGGGAGAACATGTAAATGCCACCACCCTTGGGTATGAACCTCCCATCCTGGGTTCAAACCAGGAACCCTTTTGCTGTGAGGCAAGTCTTTCAATCAATTTGGAAGTTAGGCGCCTTTTTGCAATAAGCCACACCCACTGGCCCCCTTTTGCCAACTAGCAATAAACACAAACACACACCTTCACATTGATACTCAATCTCCATGCCAAATATCAGTGTCCTAGGGCAAAAACTGTGACCGCCAAAGAATGAGGAAATCTCTGTTGATCAACTCACAGAGTGAGCTCCAGAGCTGCTGGTCGCAGCTGAAACAGTCTGCTCTCTTTTACTGAAAATCACACCAGTAAACATGTTAAAATACCTGAAAATCTTAATTTTCGGCATGTGAGACGTTGAATGGGAGTTGTAGTTTCAACTGAAGCTCTTAAAAAAGTGTCAGTGAAAGCAGAACTGAAAGAGTTTGTCATTTGATTTTGGTTTTGAAATATCTTGTGTCAGAGTTGAGAGCAGCTGATGTTTTAATTTCAAATTACAGGCCTGTAGGTAGTTTTCAGGTTGTAAGTCATTTGAAGTGTGAAAGATGAAAGCAACTGCGCTGGCATTTAAAGAGTTAAAAGATAAAAGTAGTTTGTAATGTCAGCTGAACTTAATAACAATGAAAGCAACTGGAGTTTACATTGCCATTAGAGTGGCAGGGATAGTTTTAAGTGCACTGAAAAAGTGTCAGCTGATATGAAAGGACTGACAGCTGCCAAAATGCCAGAGTTCCTCAGCTGAGGGTTAAAAAGAAAAAAACGATGCAATGAAAATGAAAGCAGAAATTTTAGATGAAGTGTGTCTGTAAACAGTTGAACATTTAAGGGCGCTGTTTAAGACCAACAAACAACAAAACAGGTTGTTGTCTTTTGAGTCATTGCTGTGTTTCCTGCAGCTTTTTAATTTAATTCAATTCAATTCAATAGAACTTTATTTATCCCAAAGGAAATTATTGTGCCAGAGAATGCTTCAATTACAATAACACAAAATACAGTAACAACAATTAATGTTCAGAAACCAGTAACAACCAGAACAACCAGTGGGTTCCCTGGGTCAGGGTCACACACTGGGCGAAGTTTGTGAAACAACAGAGTTTTAAATATCAGTCAAAAAAAATCAAAATATACAAGATATAAAGTAAAACAGTGCCCAACAGAGTAACAGAGGAGTAAGACAAGTTACTAAAAATGAACTAAAATGGTGGAAACATGCAGACAGTGAGGCTTAGGCACCAAAAGTGGGTGTTTTGTAGCCACCTGTTGCTGTTTTTCCAGCGGAGATTGTGCCATCCAAAACCAGGTATTTCAAGCCAAAACATGACAAACTTTTCCAACCCGTAATCAAGTTGTTTTTGTGCCTAAACATGACCACGTTAACTTATCACGTGCAAATGTAACATAGTACTGGTTTGCAGAAAACACCAACATTGTTTCTGGTGATTGGGTTGATAATTGAGTATGAGGAAGCTGAAGAGGAGGTGAAAAGGTCCAAAATAGGGCACAATGTTTCAGTGACGAAAACCATGACGAAAATATTTAGTCAACGACCTCGTTTCCATAATGAAAATGAGACTGACTCAAACATTTAGAATTTTGTCGACTGAAATGTTTTGAATTTCTCTTGACTAAAACTATGAAGGATCAAAATGACTAAAATGTGACTAAAACTAATACACATTTTCATCTCAAGTCTAAGACTAAATCTAAAGTTGCTGTCAAAATTAATATTAGAAGCTACAGGTTATACTAAAATATAATTTGCAAGATCTATTTTGACAGCAGCATAATAAAAATATACTCAAATTCTTGATTTGATTTGATTTGATTTGATTTGGCTTTAGTCTCAGAAAAAAAATCTGAAATTTGTCTCGCGTTCAAGAACTATTTTATATACATCGACATAAATACAAAACAACATTTAACCAAACAGCACAGTAACACAACACACACTACAAATCACAGCAGACATTACGAAAAGTGGATGCAGTGCAACATATTACTCAAGTAGACAACTTAGAAGCCATATTCTGATTTTTTTTTTTTTTTTGAGGAACGAATGAGTTCCTCAACCTGTTCAGTCGAGCCTGTGGGACTCTGAATCTTATGTGCAAAGCTGATATGCTAAAAAATAACGTGGGAGTGATCGGACGTAATATTACCAGCCAGAGACAACATTCTTTTAGTGTATGCAGTAAATACAATGGTAAACAATACCATACGAGGCTGCTAAGCTAACGTGTAACAGATTAAGAATAAAATACAACAGAATACAGTGCCATAAAATACAGTCCTATATAAAGACATTTATCAGGATGTTTGACTTTGCCCTGTGAGTTGTTACTGTGGTGTTAGTCTGGTATACACAGTCATACTCCTCCCGTCCTAATGATTTACTACCGCAAGAATTATCTCTGCTTCAGTGATAAAAGACAATTCTTGCAGCGCAGGTTGTTTTATCTGCCGTAAATCATTGCTCAGTAATTTCCTTCAGCTACAAGCGTTAAGAAAACAAAGATAAAAGCCGTCCCATTCAAGCTGAAACAGTCGTGTCATTTGGTTTGATGCTCGAATGAATTTAATATGCAAATAACAGCACTGTGGTAGCTCTTACTGTGTCATTATATAACATTTAAAGGAGCCTCAAATAATCTATGACATCACCTCTGCTGGCCAATTACAGTTCTTAGATAGTGTCTTGTGTTATATGGACATTATATACGGAGTTTCCCCTACCATTATATTAGGGGGGCGCCCCAACCCCCCCACTGGCACCCCCGCCCCCCCTTGAAGGTCAAGTTAATTTTATTTAATTTTATTTTCTGTTTAGCTCCAGATCACAACAGAAGTCCTTTAAGGTTACCTTTCCTATAGAACACGTCTATACCTTGTCCTTTTATTAAACAAACTTAAGAGCCTTATGTTATTTATCTTATTTACCCGACGGCATGTCATTTCTGTCTCTACGTGGTCATGCATTTACAATTCTCATCTGCTCTCTGTATCGTGCACGGCGGAGGTCCACCTCAATATGCACACACATACAAACACATACACACACACACACACACACACACACACACACACACAGGTGAGCACATGCCTTCACATCAACCACCTGAAAAGCAGACAAAAATAGTTTTAATAGTTTAGTAGTAAAATAGTTTTAGTTTTAGCTCTCTGTTTGGTCTCCACCAGCTCCTGAGGAAAATATCCATCTGTCTAGCTGCTAAACCTTTACTGTGTTCACCACATAGTTTCAGACTTTGCCTGCCTGCTGTTTTGTGCTCAGCAGGTCATGTACAGTCCCAATCACACAGGTTGTGAAATTCAAACATCAGACACCTGATGCCAAAAGTCACCTTCCGCAGTGGTATGATATGTGGCAGGGCGGCGTCAGTTGGTAACACGGCAGGACGGAACCTTTTGCAGTGTTATGATATGCCGCTGGTTGGTTGGATGGCATCTGCCACAGCTTTCGTCGCCTAACCATGTGCAACTTGAGATTAAATTAGTAAAAAGTACAAGAAAAATACCAGATTTGAAGACAAGGTAAATAAAAAAGAAAAATACCTGAAAATTGGCAAAAAAGTAAAAGTACAAACCTACCAAGGAAAAGACATGGGGGAAAAAGTGCCTAAAAATAATAATAATCTGCAACATAACTTTTATTAAATAGTTATGATGATTCTAAATATAGTTCCCTAGCTTACTTTCAATTATTATTATTTTTTATATGATTATTATTTTCTAAATCTTCTATTTTTTATGCAATTTTCCGGACATTTCTTGACGACTTGCTTACATGCTTTTTTCCATGTTTTAGAAAAAAATGAAACCAATTTGCTCAAAAGGTTCAAAGGTTTAAATCCTTGTGAAAGCAAAAGAAAAGTGATGTCGGTCCAAGTTTCAAAGGGTTAAGGGCCTTTATAGGTTGATTTCACATGTTAGAGCAGCTCAAAGGTGATCAGTTGCGTCGCTGTGTTAGTGATTCACTGCTGGTCAGTCAGATGGCACCTGGATGTTGTCAGGTTGTAACACTGCCGTTAATGACTTAATCTAAGGAGCAGGAAAGTCTCTATAGGGCAGATGGGAGTGGTGGTGGATAGGTCAAACAAACCTAGGACTTTCACCTTGGAGGCCAGTGATTGCTTTCTGTAGAGCCAAAACATGTTTTTCCCTAAACTTAACATCATGCTTTTGTTGCCTAAACCTAGCGATGTGCTTTTGTTGACTTCCTGGCGTTGGTTACTGAACCCGGAATGTCAGCAGCACCTAATATGTAGGAGTGAGAGTCCTCTGACAAAGCGACAACATGTTATGACTTGGTATAAGAATGCGTTGGGAGAGCCAACTATAACTCAGCCTTCAGGAAGTTGGAGGAGACCAAAGCGGAGCTAGCACAAGAGTGAATATTGTAAATGAAATTAATATTGCTTTAGATTTTTAGGTTCTTTAACCTCTTTCGGTTACCTCAACGTTTGATGCTCTTTCTTCCAGGTCAAAATCTGGTTCCAGAACCGTCGCTCCAAGTTTAAGAAGCTCTACAAGAATGGAGAGTTTCCACTCGGGGAGATTCCTCTTGAACACAGTCCAGACGCCAGCGACTCCATGGCCTGCAACTCTCCTCCATCCCCTGCTGTGTGGGACAACAATAGCAGCAACAGTCACAACAACAACAACAACAACAACAACAACAACAGCAGCAGCAGCAGCATGAAGAGTAATGCAGTGATGGATCCCACCAGCAGGGGGCAGGGTCCCTATCAGCCACCTGTGGATTCCTCGCCCGCCTGCATGGGAGAGTACACACACCAGGACTGGTACCAACAGCAGGGTGCACATTTAGGTCTGCAACAGCCCGGCCCAACGCACCACACACCATCAGCCGCACCGTCAGCCACACAGAGTCTGGGAGCCGTCTACTGACGCTGGACTCAGTTTGACTGGAGCCCTGCGCTTTAACACAGGGGGGATTTCTTTTTTTGGATGACTCGGAGCGCTGCTGTGACCTGGGAACACCTGACAGTGATCATCAGACACGAGTCATGACTGTAAAACCAGACACACATGTTGTTAAACAGGCTTTTCGATAGTAAACGTGTATTGAAAACAAGTGCTGGCCTCAGCTGCCCCACTCTCCTCCGCTCTGAAGTTTATGATCTCATAACTCAGAGGTTAAAACAGAGATTAGGGTGATTGATGTGGCTTTTTTTCAGTGCTGAGACTGGTACAGATTTTTTATTTGAAATCAGTGACAACACATAATATTTTGTATATTTAATATTTTTAAAATTACCATATTTATGCCATTTGTTTCAGTTTTGCATTGATTCAGTCCCTTAGTTTTTTTTTTCTTCTGGAATCGGCCTCTGACAACACTTTCCCTTGTAAACTGAATACTACTGAAACTTTCCAGCAAACTACAGTCCACCACACACCAGCACAGCAAACTTTTTTTTTTTAAATAGGAAACTGGACTGTTTGTTGTAGCTGCGATTGGACACCGTGTTAAAAGGCTGATAACTTTTTAAAATAAAACAATATCAGGCAAACACAGAAGACAAACTGTAGAGACACTGAAATGATCTGTGAGAGGGTGTTTTAATTTACGAACTCAATTTAAACTATTTTTGTTTCTTATAAAACCCTCCTGCAGCAGATTAAAGTAAAACTTTTCTTATGAGGATTTGCCTCTAGTGATGTCACTCGAGGCAGTTGGGTCTAAAGACTATATGTTTGTAAATTAAAATCTGGTGGTGAGGAGGTAGAAAGACGTGAGTTTAGTAGCTACATCTGTAGCCTGCTCTTCATCCCTGCTTGAGGCTACATTAGCTGCCACAAGCTTAACACACCTATATATGCGAGGGTCATAAGGACAGAGGGATGTCGTATGCTGTAAAGCCCTGTGAGGCAAATTGTGATTTGTGATATTGGGCTTTATAAATAAAATTGATTGATTGATTGATTGATTGATATCGCTAAGTGGACTGTTGGCAGTCAAGTTGCATTGTGGGTAATGTAGGCACCAGGTGTTTTTTGTTTTTTTTTAAAGAAAGACCAGTGCATGGAATAAAAAAAGATGATCTCTCTGGTTCTGCTGCATTGATTTGGATTTCTTTAACTTTCATCAGGGTTCTATCTGGAACAGGATAGGGCCCGTTTATTCCTATGAAAGTTGCTCAGTGGTGCATGAAGCCAAAATGGTTTAACTGCAGCGTATACAATAACCTGGATGATCCAGGGATTTTTGGCACTACTTCCCCACTGTGTGGCCTACAGAGCATGTTCACTGGGGACTTATGACAGCCTAGCACGGCTGAGCATGACCAAATGTCTAACTTCTGGTTTAGTGCTCCGCTAACTTGAATCTGGTGGCTCTTCCAGACTTTCCAAATGTTATCCGACCCGGGAACTGTCCATTGATCCGATAGCCCATTGGTCCAACAGCCCATTGTTCCGATCATATTAAACCCATTGTTCCGAAGTCCGTTCCGAAATCATCATGATGCCCTGTGGTTAAGGTCTGGTTAGGTTTAGGCACAAAAACCACTTGGTTAGGGTCAGGAAAAGATCATGGTGTGGGTTAAAATGAAAAAGAAAGTGAAAAACACATAAGCTATGAGCCTGCTCCACCTCAAGCCTTTCCCAGCTGACCCAGAGCCAGTCGCAGCGCACCATCAAGGTAGAAATACGCCCCCCGGGAGCCGTTCAGCACTGCGGACAGTCAGGCTAATGGGCTGTCGGACCAATGACGTGGACCCATCCAACCCAGAGGATCAAATCCTGATGGTGAAACGAGTCATTTCATGGGGGGTTGTGACGCTAAAAAGTGTATCCACAGATTTAAACATGCCTCTTTTCCCAATGTAAGTCCGTGGGAAAATCAAAGACATAAAGCTACGAACTCAGGAAGTTCCACTGTTTGGCTACTATGAAAACTGGCTTCAAAGCCTGGCGCATGCCCTCGGGGCCGGGACTACACGCCTTTGCAACAGTACTTGAGTTTACTGAGCATGAATGTGGCGTACTTACTGTTTCCAATGTCCTAAGGTGTTCAGACACTTCATCAATGTTCAGCAAAGGCTGAAATGTTTTCGAGTATTCCTCAGTCCAACCTGCGTCCTTACATTGATAACACGATATGTACAAATTGGGTGCATTGCTTTTCATAGAAAAACATACAAATTTTTTTTGGGAACAGCCAGAATAATACATCATAATGCTGCGTCTTTTATTAGACCCTCCTTGCTTGATAAAAGCTCACATTTCTCAGACTCCTTGTTTTCTTTTCAATGCAGACTTTCTGTTTTCATTTTAAAATCTTCAACCCTAAACCAAGATAACCCTGGTGACATTGCTATGACATCATCAGGGCCACAGAAGACATTTTACGCCTGTTCTCACGGGCTGAGTTGTACTCATCTTCTTCATGATCAGTAAAATGATCCCCATGGGTAAAAACTGTTTGAACTCCTGTTAAAAACTATCAAGAGTAAAAATGATAGTGAGTTGGTGCTAAAATGTTTGAAAAATAAAGTTGTAAATATTCTATTCACACGAGCTGTACTCAGGTTTTTATTTATAGTGTCAACTGTAGAACAAAAGTGGCACAACAGTTTGTGCCTTTTTCATGAAATGAGTAAAAATAAAATGTTTAGATTTGAATTTGTGTTTTTTTTTTTTCAGCATGTTAACGTGTGAATGCAGCACACACACTCACACACAAAGGCGTTGAAAGTGTGCTGACGGTGCTTCGCTGGTGTGTCTGTCAGAGTGAGTCAGACAACAGATACAGGTTGCACCCATCTATATATCACACACACACACACACACACACACAGACTGAGAGTGCGTGTAAAGGAGGTTGTGGGAGGTGACAGTGCAGCAGACACTCTGGAGTCTCTGGATACTAATAACACACCGCTGACACAGAGAGAGACGGGTGTACGCGGCTTTCATGTGGCACACAGTTGGAGAGGGGAGGAGAGTTGTGTGTTTGTGTGCATGAGCGTGTGCATGTATGTATATGTGTGTGTGTGTGTGTGTGTGTGTGTGTGTGTGTGTGAGACAAACAAGCTGCTCTCCAGGCTCTCAACCAACCAAACCCACTGGTTAGCCAACAAAAAGAGGGCGTGATGAGGAAGAGAAACAGACAAGGACGCTTACAAACAAAGTTACAGACCCAAAAACAACGACCTGAGAACACTGGCAGAATATTTCTCTTTGTGAACCTGCATGAGACGTATTTAGTCATCCAAAAAAACTGTTATTTTGGGAAATACTCATACTGGGTTTTATTGCCGAGAGTGAGACAAGAAGACTGATACTATGGAAAACATGAAGCTACAGCTGGTAGCCCGGTAGCTTAGCATACGATTGTAAATGGGGAAACAGCTAGCCTGGCTCCATACGAAGGTAACAAAGTCCACCTACTAGCTTTTAAAGTAGAGTTGTACCGATACTGATACCAGTATTGGAAATGCCTCCGATACTGCCTAAAATGTGGTATCGGGTATCGCCGAGTACAGCCTATGACCAATCCAATACCACGTAATGCCTCATGTCATTACGCATATGCACGCTACAGGCAAACAAAACGTTTTATGGTATTCATTCTACTATTATGTATTCATTTCTTAATATTTTACATAGAGTTTTAGGAGTTGAGACATACAGCAATTCATATCCCATCCATTTTTATTTTACGCACTGGTATCGGATCGGTACTCGGTATCGGCAGATACCTAAGGTTCAGGGATCGGAATCGGTATCGGGAAGGAAAAAGTGGTATCGGTACATCTCTATTTTAAAGCTAGCTAAATAAAATATTATCTATTGTTTGTTTCATCTGCAGTGTGACAGGTAACCCACAAAAAGTTGTTTTATCGGTAAAAATATGTAAATTCACACGTAAAAATTAACTACACGCGGGTGAGATCAAAGAGAAGAACCCAGTTTAATGTGAGTGACTGTAGCCTGTGTGTGTTTAAGCTAGCATTGGGGTTATCTCCACCCTCTTATCTAAATATGGTCACTTCTGGCTCCAAAAATCCAAGATGGCGATGGACATACTTGACTCTTAGCTTCAAAATGGGAGTCCACAAACCAATGGCTGACATCGCGGTGGCTGTGCCCATTATTTTATAGTCTTTGGAATTTACACCTGGATTAACTAGAAGCTGCAACCCAGGTCCAAGTCTGATGTTATCCATCCACAACAAAATGTCAAATGATGTGACTGATTTGCCTGAACATTAACACTGTACAGTATACTCAGTGTAGTGAAGATTATATGCAGGTATACAGGGTATACCCACCTCTTTTTCTGGCCGTTAACAGTATACGCACCTATTAGCCAAAAAGCCATTAGAACATATAAGAATCTTTACCCACTTCCTCCTTGGTAACCTACCCATCTACCTCATAGTGCACCCATCTCACCAACTACCACTACATCACTTCATATACTCTATTACACAGGTATTTGTGTGCAAATTTCCATGACTGTTCCAAAGCGTTCTGGGTTTCCTTATTTTTCTCAAAACTTTTCCAGGCATGGAAATTGCTATTTTAAAATTCCATGACCTTTCCAGGTTTTTCATGACCGTATGAACCCTGTCAATATTGTGGTTTATGACACAATATCTAAAGAACTAATGACTTTCCCATCCAGCCCGTTCTTGTTCTGAAGTCGTTTAAAACCGTCAATTTCAATCAATCAGTTTTATTTATAAAGCCCAATATCACAAATCACAATTTGCCTCACAGGGCTTTACAGCATACGACATCCCTCTGTCCTTAGGACCCTCACAGCTGATCAGGAAAAACTCCCCAAAAAAACCCTTTAATGGGGAAAAAATGGTAGAAAGCTCAGGAAGAGCAACTGAGGAGGGATCCCTCTTCCAGGACAGTAATGACAGTAGCTTACAACAACATTAATTTAAGTAATAATAGAATTATAATTCTGGCTACTGTGGTACAATATTTTGAAAGTATGTATTAATATCTGACAGTATACTTGTGTGACAATAGTCATATGTGTATAATAACAGTAGAAGTATGACTAATGACTAATGATGGCAGCAGCAGCAGGAGGCATCTGGCAGGACCACGGCAGCAGCACAACCACACACGTCACACTGTCCAGGCACCGCTGTGATATGAGTTAATCTGAGAGACAGTGGAGCACAAAGGCTCCGGAGAAGAAGCCGAGTTAGTGACATGCAGCACGGCCGAGTTAGCAAGATGCAGTAACAGGACATGAGAGAGAGAGAGAGAGAGAGAGAGAGAGAGAGAAGGTGCCCGGTGTATTATAGGGGGTCCTCCGGCAGACTAGGCCTAAGTCAGCCTAACTAGGGGCTGGTACAGGGCAAGCCTGAGCCAGCCCTAACTATAAGCTTTATCAAAGAGGAAAGTCTTAAGTCTAGTCTTAAATGTGGAGACGGTGTCTGCCTCCCGGACCGTAACAGGAAGATGATTCCACAGGAGAGGAGCCTGATAGCTGAAGGCTCTGGCTCCTGATCTACTTTTGGAGACTTTAGGGACCACGAGTAACCCTGCGTTCTCCAAGTGCAGTGCTTGTCAGTTATTTTGGTGTCAGACACCTGATGCAAAAAGTCACCTTTTGGGGTAGTATGATATGTCACCAGGCAGCATCAGTTTGCAACGTGGCCAGATGTAACCTTTTGTGGTGTTATCATATGCTGCCAGTTGGCTCAATGGCACCTGCTGCAGTGGTATCATATACAGACAGATGTTGTCCGGTAGAAATGCTGCCAGTAAGGGTGTAAAATAAGGGGCAGGAAGGTCCCTACAGGGCAGGCAGGAGAGGAGGTGGATGGGTCCAACAAACCCTGGACTTTCACCTGGAAGCCCAGTATTCAGGTCCCTTATGAATGTAGAGCCAAACCATGATGTTTTTTTTCT